TGATAGTGATGGCGATGATGGTGATGATGATGGTGATGATGATGGTGGCGTTGGTGATGATGGTGGTGATGATGATGATGGTGATGATGGTGATGATGGTGGTGATGGTGATAATGATGGTGATGATGATGGTGATGATGATGATGGTGATGATGGTGATGATGATGGTGGTGATGGTGATAATGATGGTGATAATGATGGTGATGATGATGGTGATGGTGATAGTGATGACGATGATGGTGATGATGATGATGGTGATGATGGTGATGATGATGATGGTGATGGTGATGGTGGTGATGGTGATGATGGTGATGACGACGATGATGGTGATGATGAGGATGATGGTAATGATGACGATGATGGTTGTAAGGTTTGAGGCGCAGGAAACTGACCACCAATGAGTTTGAAAGTAAAGTTTATTCCCCAGTAATGAGCGGGACTCATTATTGAGGTAGAGAAATCAAAATTGAAGGAGTTGGGAAGGGGGATGGATCCAGCCAAGCTGCCACCTGGACATGGAGGATCAGCAGCACGTGGCTGGTCTGGGGGTCTTTTTTTTTTTTTTTAGTATATTTTATTGATTTTTTACAGAGAGGAAGGGAGAGAGATAGAGAGAAACATCGATGAGAGAGAGTCATCGATCAGCTGCCTCTTGCACACCCCCTACTGGGGATATGCCCGCAACCAAGGTACATGCCCTTGACCGGAATCGAACCCGGGACCCTTCAGTCCCCAAGCCGATGCTCTATCCATTGAGCCCAACCGGTTTCGGCGGTCTGGGGGTCTTTTTAAAGGGAGGAACAGAAGAGGGTTGGACCCAGGGCAGAACAGGAAGGGGTGGGCTCCAGGACACTTTGGCACGCGCTGATTGATGGCTCAGTGTCTTGGAGATGTCTCTGTGACAGATGCCAGTAATGTCATAACTCCGCCCACCAGTTGGGAGGAGGGAGAACCTTATAATGGTAATGACGATGATGATGGTGGTAGTGATGGTGGTGATGATGGTGATGACGAAAATGATGGTGATGATGAGGATGATGGTGATGAGGGTGGTGATGGTAGTGGTGGTGGTGGTGGTGGTGCTGATTATGATAGTGGTGATGATGATGGTGATGGTGATAGTGATGAGATTCAATAATGAGCACTCCCTGCCTTTCTGCTCCATGAAAGTGCCACAGGCAGGACTAGGTCTGACTCAGGAAGCAATTGTGGTCTGGAGCACACAGTCCCTGAGCCAAGCCTAGCAGAGTCAAAGGCTTCCTGGTCCCTGCTTTGACCCCGGATGCCAGACGTGGGATGCCTTTTGCAGGAGCTGAGAGCTATCAGCCCTGCGTCCTGGGATTCCTTGAAGACCATGGTGTATGTGTGTGTGTGTGTGGGGGGGGGGGGGGGGGTAGAGCAGGGTTGCATCCTGATAGATTTTTTTTTTTTTTTTTCTGACTAGAGACAGAGCTGGGTCTGAACACTTTCCTCCACCTCCATAAAACCAGGTCCCGTGTATTAACTCACTCACACCCCACCAGCTGTGCCTCCGCGTTCCCATCCATATCATGAGATGATTAGGCTTCTAACCACTGGCTACAGGGTCCCCTGGGTGGGGGAGGGGAAGGCGAGGCCATCACGTGCAGGGAGCCCCAGAAATTGCCCCAAGTATTTGTGTGTGTATTCCTGGAGAAAGGAAGCTTTCCAAGTATTCTCAACTGTCTTCATGACTTCTTCTAAAAAGACTAAGGAGTACTGCCTAGAATGCAACCAACACTAGCCCTCATGGTGGACTTCAGATTCCCTCCAATATTTAAATATTTAATTACTCAGCATTTTAACATCCCAATGATTTAAAGGTGAATACACTCACATATAGCTTGTAAGATGTTTAAAAAGCGTTTAAATCTACCACGGTGAAGAGGGTTGGTTCCAGGGCAGTGAGGGGACGAAAGGGTCCCTCCACACTGCCTTTCACTGAACCCACGTTCCTGGGGGCTGTGGTTTGTCTGGGGAGAGGACACACTGTTGGATCAGGGGAGCCCAGAAGAGACACGTAGCTCAGCCTAGAGAACAGGAAGCTTCCTGGAGGAGGTGTCACCCTTGCTGAACCTGAGACCAGCAGGCTCAGCATCCCCAGATGTCGTGATGTGTGCAAGGATACAAGGTCATAATAAGGACAATGGAGAACTACAGGCTCCCGGCTGAGTCTTCTACACATACCTGAATCCCTGCTTCCCTGGGCCTCCTCTCAGCCAGGCCCTTCCACCCACCCCATTCCCATAGCTCTGCCGGCTGGAGGCCTGGCTGGCTCCGTCAGGCCGGAAAGCATCGCCACCTGCTGGCGCAAGAGGGAAGTGCAGCTCTCGCCACTGAGCAACTAGGTTTCACCCTTCAAAATTGACCAACTACCTCCTCTTCCCTTCAGAATTGACCAACTCCGTCCACTCCAAGTCTGTTCAGCTCTCCCCAAACAGTGCCTGGCAGGGCCCCTAGCGTTGCCTGCTTGAATCTTATCTGCCAGAAGAAAAAGCCCTTTCAGGAAGGGGCAGCCATTCTGTCACTCTAGTCAATGAGCGAAGATCATTCATTCCTCACATGACATGGTGGCACCTCACGGCAGCATCGTCTACAAACCATATCCATAGATTCCTGATCCTTGTTACCAACCTTAGGCATAGACAGTCCACTTGACAGCTTGGAAAAAGCCCCAGGGAAGGGCTTGTCCAATGTCACAGTGAAGTGTGTGCACAAGCTGGTCCTAGAACACAGATCTCCCAGTCGGGGTCCAGGGGGTGTCCCAAGATCAGTGATTCCCAGCTTGTGGTCCCTGAACAGCTGCAGCAGCAGCACCTGGGAACTTGTTAGAAAAGCATACTCCCAGGTCCCACCCCAGACCTACTGAATTAAAAACTCTGTTTTAACAAACCAGTTTGAGAACTGAACTACTGGTCTAAAGGAATTCACTCCTCTTTTTATTAAATACACTTTTACTTCGGAATGATTTTCGATTTACAGAAAAGTTGCCAAGATAGAGCTGAGCATTCCCAGCCAACCCCAGCGTCAACATCTCACACGGCACTAACTTGTTACAGCGAAGAGATCGACATTGGCAAGTTACTATGAACTAACATCCAGGCCTTGTTTAGAGTTTCCAGGGTTTCCACTGATTGTCATTTTTTGTTGTTGTTGTTCCAAGATTCAATCCAGGCTGTCACACTGCACTTAGGACGACATTCTTTTTAAATTTTATTGCTCACCTTCGTATCCTTCCCTGGGACACCTGGAGGAGGCAAAGCTATTGCCTTCATTACTGGGCTTGGGAAACTGAGACTTGAAAATGCCAAGTGACCAAGATCTGTTGGCCCAAACCAGCTCCCTAAGGCAGGCAGAGAGAGCAAGATCTGCCTCACTCTCCACCCTTCCTCTATCTTCCCATCCCCCCAGGAACCCCTCTGCAATGTCCCACCTGACCTACCCCATCCCACCAGCACAGAAAATGAAACGTCCCTAGCAGAGTGAGCCCAGCCCTGGGAGAAATCCACCCTGTCTTATCACCTCTTCCCTGAAATTTAAGGCCCAGGACAATGTCTTAGTGACTTCAGCCAGGGCAGAGGCGCCGTGTGCAAGGGAGGGAGAGAGAAACACTGCTCTTTGCCTATGCAAATAATTGGTGAGAGATGAAAAACTCCACAAATTATTTTCAGTTTCTCTAAGAGGAATAGTTGGTTTCCCCACGCCTGGAACCTGGGCTAGCCTTATGATTTGTTCTGACCAAAAAAAACTTAGCAGATATATCCATTCTGGGCAGAGAACTCAAGAGGCCTCACAGCTTCTGTTCCCATTCTCTTGGAATCCTGAGGCCGTCAGGTGATTAAGCTTGAGCTAGCTTGCTGGAGAGGCCACATAGAGGAGAACTAGCCACCCAGCCAGCAGCCGCCAACTGAGAGACAAGTGAGTTAAATTATCCTTGATCCATCTGAGGTGACAGCTGATGGCAAACAGTCCTGGGAATGACCCTAGGCGACGTCAGAACTGTCCAGATTACACCAGTCCAAACTGCCAACCCACAGAATTGTGGGTAAGTAAACGACTTGTCTTTAGCTGCTAAGTTTGGGGATGGTATGCTACACAGCAAAGACTAGCTGATACAATTACTCACTTCTCTCTCTGTAGTGGGATTCTGATTCTGCTTCAGGAGGCAGTGTGCCAGTCGCAGGAGATGGGACATGGTTGGGGTACTCAATTGTGACAATTCTGTTTCCTGCTGTCTTAGCTTCCTTTGCATCTTGGGGTAGCAACGGTAGATAGTTTGGGCCCAGGAAACCTAAGTGGAACTATACAGGGCAGAGAGCAGGACAAAAGCCTCTGAACAAAGTCTGACTTTAGGAGAGAAGTTGACAGGCCCAGCTGGCTCAGCCCTTCCTTCTCCCCCACTACTTTCCTCCTTGAATATACCCATGATTCCTAGAGGTAAAGCAGCCATCCTGAGGACCACGAAGTCACAAACAATGAGGGAAAGACTGAAAGGACCACCGAGATGTGTGGCCTACTGTCGCCGAGTTGTTAAAGCAATACCGTTTGTCATCTGCCTCCAAAATTGATGCTATGTGGAAAAACAAGCATTGCTTTGTTAACCTAGGTTTTCCTTTACTGCCAGCTAACTGGATTCCACATAAGAGGATAGACAAAGACAAAAATGCAGAAGGACCCTTGTCCTTGGGGATGTGGAGCCAGCCACATGTGGTTCTCCAAGCCCATCTCCTTTCTCATTCCATCCTCTTAATAACCCCTCAGAAGCAAAGACATGACCCACTTTCACAGCTGTGGGACCCATGCCACTCAGGAGCGAGTCCAAGGTCTTGTAGCTAGCAAAGAGGATGCTCAGAGTCAGACCCTCCTCCCTCCCGGCGCAGAGAGAATGCTCCCCTGCTACACCTCCCGGCAGCCCAGCCCACCGGGAACCGGGTATCTCTTCTTCTGGGCTTCCAGGCGTGTGGCAGGTACGAAAGAGCCCACTATTGCAAGTCCGGCGTGGAAGAACCCAGGTACACCCTCAGGTCCGAGATGGTGGACTGGACAAGCTTGGCGGGGATGGTCTCTCGCTGTAGCTGCTGGTACGCTGCGTAACGGTGGCAGCCCCCGAAGGAGTAGAAGTAGTCACCGCCCTGGGCTCCTTTGATCCAGAGGACATCGATGGGGGGGACGCTGTCCGGGTCCTCCTGGAGAGAGAGGGGCGCGGGGCGAATGAACACGGAACAGTGATTGACCGTGTGCAAGGCAGCCTTTGTTAACCTGTGTCGAGTTCCTATAGGGTGCGCACACTGGTTGATGCTAGCTTGTGAGAAGCTGTCAAACATGCAGGAAGTTTGTGTGTTGGTTGGCATCACCTTAGTAACTTGAAAGTCAGCCGTGGTGAGAGTATTTACACCAGGGAAATGGGCAGATAACTACAAATCAGGGTTTTTCCTCCCTAGAAACCTGGTTGTTAAACATTTTATCAACACGCCACATGCATCTATACCTTCCTATACATACAAAAACATTATGTATCTACGTGACACTGTTCTAGACTATGGGAATAAGGTACAGCCGGAGAGAGACAGACACAGCACTTGCCTTCATGGGTCTGTCTCCTGGAACAGCTAAATGAAGGCGTGTTAGAGGGATAAATGCTATGAACGCAGTCATACAGGTGGACATGACAGGGATGGGGGCCCACAAGGCCTCTCTGAGGTGACAATGGAGCAGAGAACTGAACAGAGAGAAGTCCACTTGCAAAGACAGAGAAGCAGGATAGAGTAAGAGCCTGATTTCCAGGTTCAAATCTCAGCTCTCCTACTTACCTGCTATATGACCTTGGACTCGACTCTCTTTGTGCCTAAGTTACCCTGCCTATCAAACGGAGATGAAGAAAACATACTCATCTCACAGAGCTGGTGGGTTACAGGAGTTAACATAAAGCACTCCGAACAATGCTTGGCACATGGAAAGCGCTCAGTAAAAAATGTGAGGGAAGACCATTCCAGGCAGAGGAAACAGCAGGTGCCAAAGCCCAGAACAAGGTCACTGTGTGGAGGAATGGCAGGACGGCCAGCTGACCAGAGTAAATGCATGGGGGCCTGAGGAGTAGAAGAGGCCAGGAAAATCAGCAGAAGCCAACACAGGCTTGTTTCCAAGAGCAATGGTAGGCCCTGGAGAATTTTATTTTATTTTTTAAAGCGAGAGAGAGGGAGGAAGGGAGGGAGAGAAGGAAGGAGAGAGAGAGAGAGAGAGAGAGAGAGAGAGAGAGAGAGAGAGAAAGAAAGAGAGAGGAATAGATTTGCTATTCATCTCATTTATCCATTCATTGGTCAATTCTTTTTTTTTTCTTTTAAAATATATTTTATTGATTTTCTTACAGAGAGGAAGAGAGAGAAACAGAGAGCCAGAAATATCAATAAGAGTGAAACATCAATCAACTGCCTCCTGCACACCCCCCGCTGGGGATGTGCCCACAAAATGCCCTTGACTGGAATCGAACCTGGGACCCTTGAATCCTAAGGCCGACACTCTATTCACTGAGCCAAACTGGTTAGGGCCATTGGTTAACTCTTGTATGTGCCCTGACCAGGGAGTGAACCCACAACCTTGGCACATCAGGGCAAAGCTCCAAGCAACTGAGCTACGTGGCCAGGACCCCTGGGTGAGGGTGTGGAGGGGAAAGGAAGAGGCAGACAAGTTTGGGACATGTTTAGGGGCAGATATGAGGGAACTGGCAGAAGGGGTGAAGGTGAGAAGGAGAGAAAGAGAAGAAGCCAAGTAGACTTCCTGTTACGGACCTGCAGCCAGCTGAAGGACAGGGGGTCCTCTAAGGGGGGAAGGCCTGAGGCAGGGCTGGGGGGGGCAGAGCAGCTGGGGAGGCCCCATTAATAAGTGTGAGCTGCCTGGGAGGCCTGCTACTGGCCCATGGGTTCTCTTATTATGCTGCTTTGATGGATTCATTTATCCTTTTATTCCAGAAATGATCAGTAAGCAGTAACTTATGAGCAACTACAAGCGAGGGCTCTAGATCTAGGCAAACCTGAATTTGGATCTCAGCTCCTCCAAAGAGCAGCTGAGCACTGTTCCTAATTGGTACAAGGGGAGTAAGACCCTCTATGGGGCTGCCGCTGAAAGCTGAGAGGCTGATGCAGAGCGCAAAGCACAGCCTGCCTGGCACTGGAGCCCTCACGAGGGGCAGCCACGCCGGGTGGCCGTGGCATGATGGTGGGTGGATGGGCAGAATCACAGCTCCCCAGGGTGTCCACATCCTAATCCCTGGAGCCTGTGAATATGTTACCTGATATGGCCTAAGCGTCTTGGCAGATGCAATTAAGGATGTTGACAGGGGAGATTATTCTGGCAGAAGAGGTCTGAAATTGCTAGCTTTGAAGATGGAGCAACGATGACATGAGCCAGGGAATGTGGTGGCCTCTAAAAGCTGGGAAAGGCCGGAATCGGGTTGGCTCAGTGGATAGAGCGTCGGCCTGCGGACTGAAAGGTCCCGGGTTCGATTCAGGTCAAGGGCATGTACCTTGGTTGCGGGCACATCCCCGGTAGGGGGTGTGCAAGAGGCAGCTGATTGATGATTCTCTCTCATCGATGTTTCTAGCTCTCTATCCTTCTCCCTTCCTCTCTGTAAAAAATCAATAAAATATATTAAAAAAAAAAAAAAAAAGCTGGGAAAGGCAAGGAGATGGATTCTCTCCTAGACCCTCCAGGAAGGAGTGTAGCCCTCCTGATACTTTGATTTTAGTCCAGTGAAACCCATTTTGGACTTCTCACTGTAGAATAACAAATCTGTATTGCTTTAAAGCACTAAGTTCCTGGTGCTCTGTTATAGTAGCCATCGTAGAAAGTGCCTATGGTGAGCAAAGACAGGTCTGGTTCTCGCCCTCCCCGAGCATATGGTTCTTACGGGGAAGACAGGTGTCTAAACAGCCCATTCAAACCCAGTGGGATCAGAATTCTGCGGGCGGGCATGCAGGTGGCCTGGGGCGCACAGGAGGCCTCTAACCCAGCAGGGACTGTCAGGGAAGACATTGACCCTGAGACAGGAAGATGGAGGACTTAGAAATGATAAAGAGGAGATGGAAGGGTAAAAAGCCTGGCAGGGTCAAAAGCCTGTGGAAAGGCCCAGGGTGACAGACAGCTTGTGGGACTAGTCCTTCATCCACAACCAGGCACCGTGCTGGGAATGGTCCCTGCTCTTGTGGCCTTCGCAGGAGGTGGAACAGACAGACAACAAAACACCCACAAATGAATATATAATATAATCTCGGGTGGACAGAAGTGCTTCATGGAGAAGTAACTCAGCTTAAGGAAATAGTGTGGTGACCAGGCTCTGACCTTGAAAAAGTTGCTTAAAAAAAAAAAAAAAAATTCTCCCGTGCCTCAGTTTCCTCATCTGTAAAAGGAACAACGGAAGCATCTACCGCATTCTGCTGGCAAGAAGAAGCTAAGGCTCTTAAAGCTACTCCTGGGCCCCTGCAAAGTGCTCCCTGTGGGCGATCGTTACTTTAAGAGAAGACACAGGCTCAGGGAGGCCCAGCCAGTTGCTCAAGGCCACACAGCGAACGCAGGGACCGGAAGGAGCCAGGAACCAGCCCCCTCTAGCGTCCAGGGCGACCTGCCCCCTCCGGCGCCCTCCCTCAGGCCGGTGTCCCCCCCGGGGCCTCACCCGGATCGTGTCCACCAGGCTCTGCACCTTGGCCGGGTCCAGCACGGACGGCAGCGGCCGGATGAGCACCCTCAGCGGCACGTTGTGCACCGCGGCGATGCAGCCCGAGTGGATGCTGCCGCCCTGCGCGCCTTCGCCGCCGCCGGGCGCGGGTCCCCCGGGCGCCCCCCGGCCCGGCCCGGCCCTCCCCAGCGCTCCGCCCGCGCGCAGCCCCATCGCACCCGCGGCCTCGCCGGCCGCCGCCTCCCGCTCCGGACCTTTCACTCGGCCCGGGCCATACCATTCCTGCGGGCGGGGGGGGGCCGGGCCAGGGCGCCTTTGTCCCCCGGCCCCTCGGTGGTCCGGCCCCATCCTGGTGTCCCCAAACCTGACTTGGGCTCGGCTCGCGGGGCGCCGCGGGACCCTCGGGGTCTGGCTCTCCGCGGGGGGCGCCTCGCCGGCCCCCCTGCGCCCGTCGGAGCCCCGGGAGTGGGAGCGCCCCGGCGGCCTGACTCAGGGTGAGTCTGCAGGTCGCGGGGGCGGGAGGGCGCGGTGAGTCACCGCCGCGGGGACTCAGTGACTCAGGCCTGCGGGGTCCGGGCGGGGACCCGGGGGAGGAGTGGTGGCCGGACCTGTGGGATCAGGATGAGTCGGCAAAACCCACAGTCCTGGGCCGTCTGGCGGTCGGAACCCCATAACCCTCGAGTGATAATAATACGGACAGCAGTAAAATTACGGATCTGGTGCTGTGTCTGACACTGTTCTAAGCACTTTGCATGTGTAATAACAACTTTCTAAACCTCAAAACTATGCTGCAAGGGAGGTATGATTATTATTCCCTTTTAAAAATATGTATATTTTATTGATTTTTCACAGAGAGAAAGAGAGAGGGACAGAGAGCTAGAAACATCGATTAACTGCCTCTTGCACGCCCCCTACTGGGGATGTGCCCGCAATTAAGGCACATGCCCTTGACAGAATCGAACCCGGACCCTTCAGTCCGCAGTCCGACGCTCTATCCACTGAGCCAAACCGGCTTCGGCTGTTATTCCCTTTTTACAGATGAGAAAACTGAGGCACAGTGACTCGTCTAGGAAGTGGCGGAAGTAGAGCTCAAACCCAGACAGGCTGGCTGTAGGGAGCGCTCTACAGAGATAGAACCTCCAGTCAAGTCTTGGAGGTCTGCTGGCTGCCTCCCTTCAGCAGAAGTGACTGTGACCTGGAGCCTTCTGGAATCGCGCTGACACTGTGTGCTCACTGCCCCAAAGTTCCACACTGTCTCATCTCACCCTGACACCACCGCTGGTGATTACTGAGCAGCTTGTCCAAGGCACAGCCGGTGGAAATGAAAGGTCGTCTGAGCCTAGGACGCTGGGCCCCGTGACCACAAACACCTGCTGACAAATGTGGCCACCGAGCCTTCAGAGGACGATGAGAATGACTTAGTTCCAGCCCCACTCTCCTGTGTAAAGCCCTCTGTGCCCTTGTGCCCATGGTCAGCACCGAATGTCCTCTGGGGCCAGAGAGAGGTAGGCAGAGGCTCCTGGTTTAAATTCCAGGTATTCATCAGCATCTTTGTCAACATTAGGGCTTTGGCACAGATGGGCCCTGGTTCAGGGCAAATCTGGCCAATCCCTAGCTGTGTGTTCTCAGGCAAGTTACTTAGCCTTTCTGATCCTCAGCCTTCTCTTCTGTCAAGTAGCTGTGGGGAGATTGTGGGGGACACTCAGAGATAATGGTTGATGGAGGGCAAGGTGGGGGGGGGGGAATCAGTACATAGGAAGGTGACTGGTTTTGTCATGAGCACCCAGAATGCTTAAGGAGAAGCTAAGTTTGAGAGTATCAGGAAAGGCTCCCTGGACAAGGGCCGTTCAGACTGGTAATTGGCTTGGTCCCAGAGAGGGAGAGCGAAGAAGTGGGTGATGGTTTAGAGCAGTGGTCGGCAAACTGCGGCTCTCGAATCACCTGTGGCTCTTTGGCCCCTTGAGTGTTCTAACGCCATTTCTTTAAAATAGACTTGCCCAGGCTGAAAACCAACTTCTGCGCATGGGCCATGAAGTTTCAATCGCACTGTACGTGCGTGCCCACACGTGGTGTTTTGTGGAAGAGCCCCATGCGGCTCGCGGGGCCGCAGTTTGCCGACAACGGGTTTAGAATGTAGGCTCTGGGATCACTGGAATGGCAGGGATTTGAATCCTGGCTCTGTCACCACCTATAGGTGTGGTGCCTGGGGGCGGGGGCGGCAATCCCCTTCTCTGTGCCTCAGCTTCTTCCCTGGATTGCCAGGGTGAGAGCCAGGGAGGATAACACATTAAGTGTTTGGAAAGGTGCCTGGCACTAGAAATTGCTAGATGGAAGGTAGATGTGAAGGCCATTCCAGCCACAGGGTCAGCTTGAGCGGAAGCAGGGAGGTGGGATAGTTCCAGATCTGGTTGAAGACAGGCCTGTCTGGCTTGGGGTCCTTCTCACCCTGATGGGTACCTGCAGGGAGAACGCACAGTCACCCTCTCAGCTGGAGAAAACTAGGGACAGACCCCACTGTGTGGGTGGGTGGAGGGGAGAGACTGCTGGAACATAGGCCAGTTACTGACACTTGCTGAACTCTCTGCAAAGTGGGGTAGTGCTGCCCATCACTCAAAGTTGTTCTGAGTGTGAATTGAGAGGATGCACAAAATAAGTGCTCCGTGAATTGTGTAACACCCATTTTACTGTTGAAGATCATTCACGTTGGGTTCTTAGTCTCTTGCAAACCATAGAACGCTGAGGCCATTAAAATATAACCCTTCTGAGCACCTAAATCATACTTTGTTTCTGGAAGTACAATTGACACCCACACCTCAGCCCCACAATTACGGAGCCCTCAGCTGGGAGGTGACGCGATAGCTGGGGCTGGAATCATCTGGAAGGGACTTCATTTACGCACCTGGCAGAGGGCACTGTCTGTCAGCCAGAATGCCTCCATGCGGCCTGGACTTCCTTAGGGCGTGGCGCTGGCTTCCCAGAGCTACTGCTTCAAGAGGACCTGGCAGAGCTTCGTGGACTCTCCCAGTCAAGTCTTGGAGGTCATATAGAATCATTTGTGCAGCATTCTATTTGCACGTGATGAGCCAAGTTCAAGGAAGGGGATAGAGACTCCATTTCTTTTCCTTCCTTCCTTCCTTCCTTCCTTCCTTCCTTCCTTCCTTCCTTCCTTCCTTTCTTTTCTTTTCTTTTTTTTTTTTTTTTAAAAGGTGTTGTTTGTTTGTTTTTAATATATTTTTATTGATTTCAGAGAGGAAAGAAGGAGAGAGAGATAGAACCATCAGTGATGAGAGAGAATCATTGATTGGCTGTCTCCTTTACACCCCCCACTGGGGATAGAGCCCACAACCTGGGCATGTGCCCTTGACTGGAATTGAACCCAGGACCCCTCTGTCCACAGGCCAACGCTCTATCCACTGAGCCAAACCAGCTAAGGCAAGATTCCATTTCTTAATGGCAGAGTAGCAAGATTCTGAAAGAGCTTGCGGGTGGGAAGTATTGTGACCATCTTAGAAGACACATCTGCTGTAGGCAGTGATCCCAGGAAGGGCTGGGAAAGGGAGAAGTGGCAATAGAGGGCACACTGATGAGCAGGCTAACGTGGCGGGCACCTGGGGCTCACCCCTGGGGGCTCTGAGAAGAAACGGCATGCATCCTGTATCAGCGTTGTCCCTCTGAGGGGCAGGGGGCAGGGGACTGGGCATTCACTCACTGACTCCTGTCCCTCGTTGGTTGCCTGAGGATGTTAACGCTGCCATTTCTAGGCTGCCTGTACTCCAACTGAGCAAGTGTCTGAGGACCCAGAGGATGAAGCTGCCTGCTTATAGTGACCTCAGAGGTGGACTAAGGCCATGGTCGGCACACTGCGGCTTGCGAGACACATGCAGCTCTTTGGCCCCCTGAGTGTGGCTCTTCCACAAAATACCACAGCCTGGCCGGGACCGGTTTGGCTCAATGGATAGAGCGTCGGCTTGGGGACTGAAGGGTCCCGGGTTCGATTCCGGTCAAGGGCATGTATCTTGGTTGCGGGCATATCCCCAGTAGGGGGTGTGCAAGAGGCAGCTGATCAATGATTCTCTCTCATCGATGTTTCTAACTCTCTAACTCTCTCCCTTCCTCTCTGTATAAAATCAATAAAAATATATTAAAAAAAAATACCACAGCCTGGGCAAGTCTATTTTGAAGAAGTGGCATTAGAAGAAGTTTAAGTTGAAAAAATGTGGCTCTCCAAAGAAATTTCAATCGTTGTACTGTTGATATTTGGCTCTGTTGATTACGGAGTTTGCCAACCACTGGACTAAGAGAATAAGGGGCAGGACATCAATGCATTCTCTTTTTATCCAAACCAGCCGGAGTCCCTGTTGGTAACTACGTGTTCTCCCCATCCTTCTCCTGGGGCCCCTGCCCTGCCCCTTCTCTTTAATTTTATTTTTTAAATTTATTTTTAGAGAGAAGGGAAGGAAGGGAGGAAGGGAGAGAGAGAAAACAATGTGAGAAAACATTGATCAGTTGCCTCCCATATGCACCCTGACTGGGGATTGAACTTACAACCTAGGTTTGTCCTTGACCTGGAATCCAACCCGCAACCTTTTGGTGTACAGGACGATGCTTCAACCAACTGAGCCACCTGGCCAGGGCTTCTCTTTCATTTTTTATAAAGAATCTACTACCTCAAGTATTTGAATGAGCAAAAGACTTTTCTGGGGAGACCAAAGGATTTCTGTGCCACAAAAGGAACGCTAAAATTTCACACCCCCAAATTGCTCAAGACCACTTCTACAGCTTAGCTTACAGGGTCCTGCCATGTTGCTTGGTGCCATTCTTTCTGTTTTCTTCTCCATTTCCTCTTTGTCCCCTCTGCAAACCCCAAAGTTCCTGTATTTACTTCAGGCAGAAAGTTTGTCATTTTCTTCCGCAGCTTCAGTGTCTGCTGAGCATCTCCTTGAGTGAAGAAATTTCCCACCTTTTTAAAAATCAAGTTTTGAATGTATGAATTCTGTCAATGAGCATCATCAATATTTTTTAGGTCCAAGTTGTGACTAAACTCACTTTTAAATTCAAAGTTCTAAGCAGCTGAACCAGCTCTCTGTACCTGGACAGTGTTTCCTCCCAATGAGATACGTCTGCTATAACAATCTGTACTAATTCCATCATAATATGTACCACCTTGTATTTTAATTACTAGATTATGGATCTCATCAGATTGGGGTTCCTTGAGAGAAGTGACTTTCATGTTCACTCTGCCTTGACATACGTACCAAATTATTTACTAAATGAGCGATGAATAACATTTCTATTTCAATGGGAAGTACCCATAATTGAGCATTAATCTAAAAACAGCCTATAGTTTGATTTAACATCCTCATCATTTAAACAAGAAACCTATACCAAGACTTTGATTTAGCTTGTGCTAAGACATTTTTAAAATGTGTAGCTCTGGGACATTTTATTACAAAAAGCTGGTTCTCACATGCATAACTAGCAAGAACTTAAAATTCATCATACATTTACTTCCTTTGTTAGCTTGACCTTCTGGTAAGTCTTTAGCTTCGTTGATTTTGGCTGCTATGTAAGGAGATCCTCCCTTGTCTGGGTGAATTGTGTTGGAGAGTTAAAAACTGTATTTCTCAGACTTCCTTGTAGCAAGGGTACTGACAGGGAGTCAGGTTCTGAGAGTTTAGGTGCGCTTTTGTGTGGTGTGGATGGCAGCAGCGGGCAGGAACCATTTTCTTATTGCCTTGTCTGTTACTACGGGCAGGATGGTTGTGGAGATGCAAGTTTTCCTCTAACCGTGTCCCAGGGTGGACCCACCAGGGCGGTAGGAGACGGGGGACAGCTAGTTACGGGGGGCCCTGGCAGAGACCTCTTGATCCCTGGGTCACACCAACTGTGCTGTGTTCTTCTCCTTTTTTTTTTTTTTTTTCTTTTCTTTCTTTAAAAAAAAATATTTTATTGATATTTTACAGAGAGGAGGAAGGGAGAGAGATAGAGAGCTAGAAACGTCAATGAGAGAGAAACATCAACCAGCTGCCTCTTGCACACCCCCTACCAGGGATGTGCCTGCAACCAATGTACATGCCCTTGACCGGAATCGAACCTGGGACCCTTGAGTCCGCAGGCCGATGCTCTACCACTGAGCCAAACCAGTTTTGGCTGCGCTGTGTTCTTGAACTCAGAAGGGCAGCCTCCTGACTGGCCCCATGTGGCTGTGGAAGAGGCAGCGGCTTTGTTGCTGGGCTGGTATTATGGTGATTTTCGGGGGTCTGGCGGAGGGCCTTTAGCAAGTTTGCCAGCAGCCAATTCCCTGCGTTAAATACTTTCCACTTCAAAAGGGCTTAACAGAGGAATTAGGTGTTTATAATATGCTGATCCAGCGTGGGTTCTTCTCCCCGAGCCTGAAGCAGATGTTGCTGAATGCAACAGCCAATCGGGAGCATGTGGAGTAGCCACAGAGGACTGTGCGTGGTTGGCTAAGGAAGGAAGCAGTGCCTGGGCCCCTCAAAATCCCATTGGAGACTGTGTGGGGGTTCCCACGCTGCTGTCATTGCTGGGGACACCTAGCCTGCAGCGCAGGGCGTGGTTGCCGGTCCGGAGGTGAGCGAAGGGCAAGGTGGACAGGCACCAGGGCCTAAAGGCAGACAGGATGAGGGGCTGGCATTGAGTGCGCTGCCTACAAAAGGAGGAAACCGGAAAGACAGCCCCAAGAGAGATGGGGTTCCACTCCCTTGCCTGGCATCTAGCCCTCAAAGCACACAGGCCCCGCCCCTTAAGGCATCTGTGTTGAGGGTTGGAATTGACTGACATGGTGTTGGAGGTCCCCAGTGACGTTTTTAGTAAGGCAAGGACAGATTTGTGTTTTGAAGGATCACCAAGACAGCACAGAAGATGGATGGGTTGTCCAATATCTCCCTGAACACCTTTAATGACCTACGGTAGCTCATGAGTGCTGGGGGCAGTTCACTGTTTTGGGGCAATTTTGAACCCCTTTTTTGCACGCATGCACGTGCTGCTTGTGTGATCGGCAGAGCTGGCCAGAACCTGACCAGAGCAGTAAAGCGTGTGGTGGGGAAGGATGTAGGGGCTGTCTAGGGACAAGGTCTGGCTCCTGGCTTGTTTTGGAGGTGTAATTTGATTGCAGTTCTTTAAGCTGAGACAGACACATTCTTCCCGGTTAGTCACAGGCTCCACCATCCCACGATGTATGAGGGCAACCTGTTTTATTCACTTACGTTATTAATGTGGTTCTTGAACCCTTTTGAATTTGTGACCCCGGTACTGGAGGAATATTTAGGACTGAGGATGTCAAGGGCCCCCTGGATGTGTGCGACCCCTGGTGGCAGCCACTGGCTGTTCAGGCTACAGGGAAGGAAATGGAGTGGAAAAAACCCTGTTCCCTTTCAGGAGCTCTCCCCACCCCGTATCCGTCCGTCACATGGTCTAGAGGCGCTGCAGAGTGGCCAAAGTCCCTTTAATATCCCTGAATTGCGTTACAAGTAATACTGCTGGAGGTGAGGAAGGAATGGGGGAGGGGGGTGTCTAGGGCAGGAGACAAGGAGGAGAGAGGGGGGAGCGCCAAGCGCTCATACAAAATATGGCCAAAAGGCTTAGCATGCATGGAAAATTATTGCTGTCGGAAGTTCCTATGTACAGGGTCAGCACCCTCCGTAACTGCTTCTGCGAACCCTCTCCCTCCCCCATCCCTGCCGCCTCCCTCCCCGGGTGGGCCGGGAGTGGAGGGAGAAGCCATGGAGAAGCGCCCCTGCTCCAGGTCCCCCCGCTTGTGGCCAGGGGTGGAGGCGGAGGGCTGGAGGCTCCAGGACTGCTGTCCCCGAGGTGGCGCCAGGCGGTGGGGCAGCGCGTGTGCTTGAAGCAGAGGGGCCGGCCCGGAGCGGGGAGGTGTGTGCTTCGATCCTCGCCCGGGCGAGCCCGAGAGCGGCGGGGGAGGTAGTGGCGGCCGGCGGGGCAGTGGCAGCCCCGGCCCCTCTGCCCGGGAGAGTTGCATAGATGTGGCTGGGAGGAAGCGCTCCTCCCGGGAGGAGGAGCGAAGCAGACCGAGGCCCCAGCGGGGTCCGGGGCTCAGTCGGTCCCTGGAACCTGGGGTCCCTCGAGAAGAGGAGTTAATGGGAAACAATGAGGAGGCTCCCCTCTGCAGTCTCCTGGAGCGGGGGTGGGAGTGGGAGGCTCAGGAAGGCGGGGACCTGCCCCAGGACCGGACCTCCTGACACCTCCCCTCCCACCCCCCAGGGAGGGTCAGCAGGCCACAACCCCCCCCTCCCGTTTTTTGTGTCCCCTTCCCCAGCGAGTTCAGGCTCTGATGAGGGTGGGGCTGCTCCCTCAATCCCCAAGATGGGGTGAGGGTGTGGGGAGACAGCCCTCTATGGCCTTTGCTGTCCTCTCCCTGCCTGGCTCCCTGTCTCTTCCCCCCCTCCCCCCCAGTCCAGCTGGGGAAGCCAGACCGTCGTCCCTGCGTGAGGACAAGAGAGATTAAATAGAATAATAAATAGATAAATAAATAAATACACAAATAAATACCTAACTGGAGAAGCCCAGTCGGACAGGGGGAAGGGCATTTGTGAGGTGCCCCAGACCTCCCCCCCAACAAATGAGGAGGGGTACCTGCCATCCTAGGGATGGGGAAAGTGCTCAGAGAATCCGGGGAGAGGGCAGCTTGAGTTTGGAAGCTCAGGGAGGGGCTGTCCTGGGGTAAGAGGGGTACTACTTGAGGGGGTGGGGCCTGAACTGCCCCTCAGGTCGGCCCCAGGTCAGGAGAATTCAGAGGGGTGAGAGATGCTAGAGGGACGGGGAGGTCTGGAGACAGGATGGGGGCGGGGGGAGGTGGGGTGAGAAGCCCAAGAGGGTGGAGGGAGGGGGGGAGTAGTATGTGAATGGCTGGCTTAAGGCCAGAGTATGGAGAGGATTAGGACGGATGCAAGGAAACTCAGCAAAGAGGCCAGAGGTTTGAATGGGGTCTGGAGGCTGCAGGGCCCGCATCACATCGCATGGGGAGTGTGGAAGGGAAGCCGCAGGCAGGCGGCAGGGGTGAGTCAAGGGTAGGCTTGGTTCTTGCTAGTAGGTTAGGGCCTCCAATAGAGGAATAGCCACAGGGACTCTGCTGAGCACTGGGAGGAAAGATCTGGACGTCCGTCTGAAGAGGAAAGGTGCAGGGTCTGCGTGAGAAAAATTCCGGCCCCGGGAGAGGCGCGGACCTGGTGCCTGAGTTGGGAGCCTTGAGGGCATAGACAGGGGGTCAAGGTCCGAGTCTTGGAAGCCAAAAAGGACTAGGTGGGCCAGGATGACTTGGGGAGTCAGTGATGGGTTTGGGGCTGGAGAGAAAAGGTCTGGGCTGGGAGTGGGAGTGGGAGGCGGTGGGGATGGGTAGCGGGTGGATGAACTGGTAGGAGGAGGGGGGCGGTTCCCACAAGAGTCGTGGGTAGGGAGACGCAGATGGGGGCTGGAGAGGGCGCAGGTGGGGTGTCCCAGGGCCCGTGGAGAGCGAGCTCCGGGCGGGCGGGCGGGCGCGGGGACGAGGCGGGGCGGGGGCTCAGCAGGCGGGGCCGGCGGGGGGCGGCGGCGGCGGCTCGGCGCCCTTGACGCAGGCGGCCTCGCAGTGCTTGTGGAGGTAGGACTTGAGCGCGAAGCTCTTGTCGCACTGGCGGCAGCGGTAGTGCTTGAAGGCCGAGTGCGTCTGCATGTGCGCGCGCAGGTTGGAGCGGTCGGCGAAGGCCTTGCCGCAGTGCGCGCAGCCGAAGGGCTTCTCGCCCGTGTGCGAGCGCATGTGGCCCTGCAGCAGCCAGGGCCGCGAGAAGGCCTTGCCGCACACGCCGCACTTGTGGCGCAGGTTGTGCGTGAGCACGTGCATGGCCAGCGCGGGCATGGACACGTAGGCCTTGCCGCACGTGGGGCACTTGCGCGCCTGCTGGCTGTCCAGGCTGCGGTGCGTCTGCTTGTGGCGGCTCAGGTTCGAGGACGTGGCGTACGTCTTGCCGCACTCGGCGCACGCGTGCCGGTGCCCGCCGCCGCCGCCGCCGCCCGCCGGCGCCCCCCCAGCGCGGCCCGCGCGCCCCCCGGAGCCCGCGGCGGCGGCGTCCCCCAGGCCCCCCGCGTCCCCGCCCGCCCCGCCCCGCCGCCGCCGCGAGCGCCCGTCCGAGATGAAGAAGGCGTCCATGGAGTAGCTGTCGGTCACGGCCGCCTCCCCGCGGAAGTAGCGCGCCGACAGGCTGGACTGCGGGCTCTCGGGGTCGCTGTACTCCTCCGGCGCCGCCGCCGCCGGCGGGTACGGAGGCTCCACCGGCGCCAGCTCCAGGCCCGGCTTCTGGTCCACATCGTAGCTGGCGGGGGGCAGGCAGTGCGGGGCGTACCCTGCAGGGGCGAGACGGTAGCGGGACGGGGGAGGTGAGGCCCCGGAGAGGGCTTCTCCCTTGGTCAGGTGACCAGATCGTCCCGCTTTGGGCGGGACAGTCCCGCTTTTTGGAAAGATTCTTTTTAAAAAAAATTGGGACTTTTTTAAAAACGCCGCCAGAGGCGGGGAAAATTGATAAAAAGCGGGGCTGTCCCGCCCAAAGCGGGACGATCTGGTCACCTTTCCTTGGGGGCAAATCACTGCCCAGGCTCTGCAGCACCGCGTTCCCTGACTTCTCCGGAAAGATGATGTTGGTGGGGGCTGGTGAGACAGTGGCCGCTGTCGGGTGTCTTTGTACTTGGTGTCTGGCCGCATAGGTTCAGACTCCTTTTGTGTGGAGGCCCCCAGCAAAAATAATCCCCACCCCACCCTCGTGGAGCACAGAGCTTCCCACAGTTCTGCCGGCTTTGTTTTCCACTCGCTGCTTAAGTGCTGACAGCCACACGGGGAAAGTCTTATTTTTATTTTACTCCCACTTTACAGATCGAGAAACTGAGGCACAGGGTCTAAGCCCACCACTAGGAAATGGTAGAGCCAAGATCCAGACCTTGGCAGTCTGACACTAAAGTTTATGCTTTCGTGGGGAGGGGAGGGAGATATGGGGGAGATAAGAGATCAACTGAAGGACTTGTATGCATGCATATGGCAGCATAACCAATAGAAGCAAAACTCTGGGAAGGGAGGGCATGTATGAGTGGGGGAGGGGGGAAAGAATTGGTAAGATATGTACACATATAATACCTTAATAAAAAAATGGGGAAAAAATAAAGTTTATGCTCTCTCTATTCTGACATTATTTTGCCATTCCGGCCCTATACCTTCTCAGGGTCTGTTTCCTCATCTACAAAACAGAGCTTATAATTGGATACTCCTTCCCAGGGTTTGGAAGCACCGAAAAAAATGACGACTGGAAACATGTATGAAGCTCCTTCTGTGTGCCAGGTTCTGCCTTGATGCTTTCCCCATGTCAACCATTTCATCGTCACACACCCTACCAAGTATGAACTCTTAAAATCCCCATTCTATGTGGAAGGCAATTGAGAGGAAGGGAGCACGCAGTAATTGCTATATAAATGTTAGCTATTATGTATGCATTTTAATTGGTTAAAAAGTGATTTCACTGATGATTCTTTCGTTGTCTGCCTTCCCCACCAGACCATGAGCTTCCCAGGGCTGGCTCTGTGTGCCCAGACTGTGCCTGCCTCAAACGAGGAGTGTGATACATAGATGTGCGAATGAGTCACAATCCTGTTATGCCCCCAGCCCCACCTCAGGGTTTCTGGAGGATGTAAAGGGTCAAGTGCATGGTCTGTAATAAGGGCTCTAGGGAGGGGACTTCCTTGCACTTGCTCTAGAGTCTACTTTGCTCCACTGGAAGCCATCTGATGTCCCTCTGTGAGAATTCAGCTCCGCCGCCTCCTCTCACCTCCAGAGTTGTACCAGAAATCCTGTGCACGTGGGTTTGAGGGATTGGTGAGTGTGCAGGCTAGGGCTCTCCCAGGGGATTCCACAGGGGTTTCCCAAGGGCATGGGCCACCCCAGTTTGTCTCTGCCTCCCAGGGCCTACCTACCCTGGTCTTAGGCCCCTCCCCAAGGAGCCTGGGGCTTGGGCTCCCAGGAGAGTTTTTGGCAGACATGTTCACGCTTATCATCCTAGTACTAAATTACCAAACGTTTCCACTGTCCTCTGATTCCAGGGAACAGTGGAGTTTAGCTCCCTTTACTTCTCATCTGGCGCTTAGGATGGTCACAGAGTGGAATCTGTGCCGACTGTCTGCCAGCCCTGAAGAGAGAATGTGTCCTTATGGTTTCCTCTGTCCCTTCAACTGCTTGCACGGGACTCTCTGCACATGGGTGTGACTGGGGTGGTGGGGGTGGAGGACTCAGTAGGCAAGGACTCTGTGGTCAGATGCAGACAGGGCTGTAGTGGTAGGTAGTTTTTTAATTGGGAGAAGTTTGCCTAGCCTCTCAGCATCCTATTCTCTCCCCCTCCCCCACTCCTTCTTTTATGCCTTCAGTCTGGATCCTACTCCAGGAATCAGGCCCGGTATTCAAGCCCCCAGATGTTCGGGGAATATTGTTTCAGACCGAGTTAAATATCTGTTGGGCACTCCTACGTCCCCTTCTTCTCCTTTAGTATTTTCCCATTGTACTCATTGGTGGTAATAATAATTGCTTATATTTATTAAGCACTTACTGTATGCCAGGCTCTGGGCTAAGTGCTTCATTTCCATCACCCACCTAATTGAATCATCACAAAAATTCTTGTATTACAGATAAGGAAACTGAGGTGCAGAGTGGTGATGTTTCTTGCTTAAGGGGTGGAGCAAGGAATATCATTCACTGCATGCTCCTCAGTTTCCCTTACCTTGGGAGGTCCCCGACGAAGGGGCTGTGGCTGGATTGTTCACTTTCTGTAAGCAGGGCCAAAGCTAGCGGGCACTCAGTATTTGTGGAATGGGCGATAAAGATTTGCCAGGCCAGGGTCTGCTGCAGGCTGTTCTGTCTGCCTGGTTTTGGGATGACTTGATTCCCTACATAGATTCTAGCTGGGTTACCTTGCATAAGTCATGTGTCTTTCTGTGCCTTAGATCCTTTCTTTGGATATGGGGATAGAATACAAACTATTTGGAGGGGGTTGCTGACCATGTGACCAGTGCTTTGCATGTTTTCTTATGAATGGAGGAGGGCGTACTGATTAAGTGTACACTTTATTGCCAGACTGCCTGGATTGAGTTTTAGCAATACTATTCACAGCTGTGTAATTTTGGACAAACTACTTGACCTCTCTGTGCCTCAGTTTTCCTAGCTGTAAAATGATGATAATAAAGGCATCTAATTCATACAGTAAACAATAAATGAAAAGCAAATAATAACCAATACTTCCTAGAGTACTTATGTGTCAAGACACTATTTTAAGGGCCTTACACACATGAATGCATACTACCCTCATGACTCTAAGGTTGCTGCCATCTTACAGATGAAGAAACTGAGGCACAAGGCAGTTAATTAACATTCCCAGCCAAAACCGGTTTGGCTCAGTGGATAGAGCATTGGCCTGCGGACTGAAAGGTCCCGGGTTCGATTCCAGTCAAGGGCAAATACCCTTGGTTGCGGGCATATCCCCAGTGGGGGTGTGTGCAAGAGGCAGCTGATCAATGTTTCTCTTTCATTGATGTTTCTAACTCTCTATCCCTCTCTCTTCCTCTCTGTGAAAATAAAATATTTTTTCCCCAAAAAAATAAAATAGAAAAAAAAAACATTCTCAGGGTCACACAGCTAGTAACTTAGAGTTAGGATTCCAACCCAGTGCCTGGCACATTGCAAAGCCATAATACATGTTGGCCACTTTTGTTGAATAATAATAACAGTTCCCCAGAGATGTTTCTGTGCTGCAGTTTTCTTGGCATCTGCATGGATGTATCTTGCTGCTCCTCTCTGTTTCCTCATCCAGAATGTGTGATTTCTACCTCAAGTTCTGATGAGAAAACTTCTGATGGGTAGTAGTTTCCACCCAACCTAGGCTCTCTGTAGGCATTGCCATCTGGTGGCAGCCTTTAGCATTGCAGCATCTTAGTCCTATCTCATAGAGGCCTGGTGCACAAAATTCATGCACTGTCTCTTAGCCCCACCTGCCCCTTCTCGCAGCCCAGGAGCCCTCAGGGGATGTCTGACTGACTGATGGCGTAGGCCTGCTCCCCACAGGAGTGGGCCTAAGCTGTCAGTCGGACATCCTCAGCACTGCCACAGAGGCGGTAGAGGCTCTCACCACTGCCACTGTGCTCACCAGCTGTGAGCTCAGCTTCTGGCTGAGCAGTGCTTCCCCTGTGGGAGCTCACTGACCACCAGGGGGCAGCTCCTGCATTGAGTGTCTGCCCCCTGGTCATCAGTGCATGTCTTAGTGACGGGTCATTCTGCTGTTTGGTCGATTTGCATATTAGCCTTTTATCATATAGGATAAGGGTACCTCCAACCAAGGTTGCTCATCTGCCTAAAGACAGGAATTTGTGGGACCAGACCTGACACCCAGCAGCTGTGGAGTTTAGCATGGGCTGTGAGGGTAGGGTGGGGATATTAAGAGGAGGCTTGCTTTGTGACCTTGGCCAGATTGTTTAGCCTCTCTAAATTTGCTCGGTAAGGATGAAGGTTGGGATGCTCTAAAGACATCTTCTGCATCTTGCCGAGTAGATCTGTCAGTGATGCCCATTTTCCTGTCCTTCACCCCCATCTACTCTGTCTCATTCTTCTCAGATCCACAGACCTCTCCCTAACTATGTGATCTCTGGCAAGTTATTTAACCTTTTTTTGGCGTCACATCTATATAAGGAAGCTCGTTAATAAGATTGAATGAATTAATGCATGCAAAGCCCTTAGTCCAATCCTGGCACACAATAACTTCTCAAGTCGTTATTATTATTCTCATTATTATTATCCCTTAATTTCCTGGTGAGCTGCTTCTGGTAGTAGGATAGTTAAGTAACATGCCCAGGGCACATGTTGTTTGGCCTTGGGCAAAGCACCTCACCTGTCTGGGCTCAACCCTGGAGAATTATGTAGGAACTATAAGCCACGCTCTAACTCTGTTCATGGAACCCAGCTAGGTTTGGGTTGTCTTCCTCCGTCCCACCGGTGACTATAGAAGGCTGAGCTGGCTGTTTCTCAGCTGAAAGGGAGAGACAGGGCTCTCTTATTTGGGTCTCTACAGAGGCAGGGGGGCCTAGGGACCCAGGGGGAAGAGATCTGGCGTTCATCTTGGCCCTCATACTCCTACCCTACATCTGTGACCTTGGGCACATCACACAGCCTCTCTGGGCTCAGAATCCCCCATTTGAGGGATTCAAACTAGAGGCACCCCTGCCATGTGGGGGTGGATGTGGAGAGATGTCTTATACATGTCACCTGAGAATGGTTTCTGGTTTTCCCTGCCTAAAGAGTCTTGATAGTTCAGGTTGGAGGCCCA